TACTATTTTCTGTGATGCATAGTCATCAACTGGGGGGGGGCGGGAGTGATGGTTGAATGGTTGAATTATTGAACAATGTCTGTTGACATCCCTTTTTAGTGGTGGCCCCTGGACTTCAGCTTGGGTATCCCTGTGCATTATAGTGTCCATGGTTCGTACGACAGAGGAGAACACACACGGTATATGCTGCACATTTCTGTCGATGATTTTGTCTATATCCCTTACGTTAAAATAAAGGTTTATTTTAGACATGGCTTAGTATCAAACAGTGTTGTGGTGTCTTTACTACTGATGGGATCCAGGGTGATTGCTGTATATAGAGCAGTATTGTGTAATTTATCACAAAACAGTGAGTCGGAGCATTACCGTGATCAGCATTAGTGTGGCAGCAGCCAGGGCTTGTGAGTGATTCCTCCGCGTGTTTTCGTTCCAACAGTATGAGGCAGAAGCCATATTACTGGGCTGCCAGCTCATTCTTCAGAAAGTATGGGACAGCCAAAAAAAAAAAAACAACACCACAATAGAGAGGAAATTCACCGTTCTCAGTGCCAAGGATCTCAAGCTGGATATTCACAGTTGATGAAAATGGAGCATAAAAATAAAAATGACTGCCGGGCTCATTGCAATATACTCTGTCACCAGCCTTTTTTTCGAAGGCTATGGGAGACTAACGCTGTATCTGTTTAGATCTATGCAAAAGCTGACCACAATTCTTCCATTCTTTGCATTTTCAGGGGCACATAACAGAACCAGAAGAATGACAAGAAAAACAAGAAGTATGATATTAGTGTACATCATGCATAGGTGCGTTTCTGAAACAAACAAAAAAATCCACACATTACCACTTGGAAATCGCAGCAGATTTTTCTCCTACGAAGAAAGCTATTTTAAAACATCTAAAAATATGAATCAATAGGGCAACGTTGCTTATGACGCAACATGCCAAACGTGTACTTAGTCAGCAGAGGCTCTGCTACACAGAAATAGTCACACAGAATATTATTGGCTTAATAGCTCATAAAGAGAATGTATGATGAATTCGGCCATTTTCATTCTGCCATAAACTCAGTCTGGATTCCATTATCATTGCTTGGGTTACCCATTAATTCTACTAATCGGAACAGATATATTTATAAAGATAACCTGCTGGTAAATAGCATTTTCTGCTTCGATTAACATCCATCCATCTTTCACAAGCTTATCCGGGTCAGGGTGGTGGGACCAGCTTATAACCCTTTATCCTCATTGGGGTTGCAGGAGGGCCAAGAGCCAATCCAAGGCAGACAACACAGGTCACAAGGCAGGGGGACACCCTGGACAGGATGCCAGCCCATCATAGGGCACACGCATGCACACACAGTCATACACTATGGGCAATTTAGAGATGCCAGTTAGTATAACTGCACGTCTTTGGCCTTTGGGTGGAACCTCTCACAACACAGCGAGATCATGCACACATGATGTGGAATTAAATTTTACATTACAGTCAGACCTCAGACATTCACGAGGTTAGGTTCCAGAACCCGCCGAATGAGGAGGATTCGGGGATGTTTGGTAGAGTCACTAAAAATGGTAATATGTGCTTATTTCTATAGTTTAAAGCCTAAATATGAACCCAGTCATGCTCCCAAAACACTTTAATTTCATTTAAAAGTTAGCTTTAGCATTACCTTTAAAAAAGACAAATGTTTGATGTAAAAATAGAGTACAGTATTGCCTAACGGATATTTGTCACACTAGCACATTTACAGTACAGTATACTAATGTTACTCCTACTGATTCATAGAACACGGCATTGGCTGCCGTTTTCTTTTGCATTCATAGTAAGGTGAAATGAGTAAATGACTGTAAACTTATTGACAGAAGTCATATACATAACCAAGCCCTGCTGGTTTTGCAGCCTTCCTTTACCTGTGAGCCAGGTGTGAAGCCTCTGGCCAATCAGAATCAGTCATTATTAAACTAACTACCTGGGAGAACTGAAAACAAGGCCCGGATTTAGAATCGAGGTCCAGATTTGAAACCCTGATTTAGAGCATTTAGGGAGCATGGAGTGGTATTAGGATAGTGGAGGTATTGCTAAAACAAATGGGTCTTGAGGTGTTTCTCGAAGGTGGAATCTGATGACCGGATGTGGTTCAGCAGCTCATTCCGGCAATGGGGAACCACATATCACACATAGCACATATCTCACGCGGCGGAGGGAGCTCCGAACGGCATTGGTTTGCTGACTGAAGGGGGCGAGATGGGATGAAGGTCTGAAGGCTGGTTCGTACTTCTCTGCAGAAACGCAACACTCGTGTTTATATATATATACATATAATTCGCTGCACACATACCACAACAGTGAGGTTTATGTTAATTTTTTTATGTTTTACAAATTCAGGGAGCCAGCTCACACAGTTTGGTCAGCTGGGAGATTTCAATTCGAGACGAGTCTGTACACACATACACTCGCATTTACATGTAAGTAACAGTTTTATGACCTTGTCTGTAGGGTTAGCAAGCTACCCCAACGCTCGTCGAAAGCATCCATGCTGGTATTTAAGCTGGACTCCAGAGAGGTATGACCAAGTCTTTAAGGAGCCCTTTGATGCCTTGATGGCTCTGAAAGCCAGTATGGAGGACTTGAACTCATGCATTCTATATACTGAGAATGTATGTGCGAGGGCTTGGGGCGGCACCTGAGCATCTGCTCATTTTGCCTGAGTGCTTGAAACTGCCCCCCTTGTGATGTTCTAAGTGCCATTCACTGAGGGGACACCCCCGCCGGGTGGCACATCCCCCTGTTCGAACACCTGACCCCTGAAAGGCCTGTGCACATCACTGTGGTGCACATTCAAGTGGGGGTCTTCATTGTGACATCAGATAGAAGGACGCTGGCTGCAGCTGAGGTGAAGGACCATTCCTCAGACCTGCTCTGCCCTGTGTCGTAAACAGAAGCTCACAGACACGACCGGTGGTGCAGAGGGTTTCTTGTTGGGAACGGGCAGACAGAACTGGAATCGGGCAG